TTTTTTGGAACGTCTTCGACCTTCACGTACATCTCCAACATTGTGATTACAAGAAATTCCCGGCATTCATCCAGAGTCCTCAGAAAATCACTCAAAATTTCATCATCGTCGATGTTAAACTCCGAGTAAAAAAGCAACCCCCTGCGGAGTGACGGAATACAAATATCTTCCGGTTACTTTAAGTATCACTGAACGTTTCCTCACACNTTTTTGAATGAATTTCTATACAATCCTAACCTCTTTATATAGGGAATGACTAGCCGGATTTTTTTTTTAATATATATATAACACCCAAAAAGTTGGCATTATACGCTTTTGAATCATTGAAGCCAGGAATTATTGGTGGGGCCAGAAAAAAGGAGTATAGTGCCAAAATACCAGGTGCTATATATAAAAATTTATGTATAGAGTCAGGTATTTTGGCGCTATACCTGGGCGTGTCAGGTTTTTCAGTATAGTGCCACAATACTTTGCATTATACATTGCGTTAATGTATAGCGCCAAGTATTGTGGCACTATATATAAAAATATCACCTTTTTTTATCACCTATTTATGTATTTTGAATCCAAAAGAACCACAATTGGGTACCGGACTCGTTGGTTGCACCCTTTCTTTTTCCCTTATCCTCATTTTTCATTGGTCAACCTCATCTTGGACCCCTTAAAAAAAAGCACATAAACTTTAGCCCTAGGTCAAGCCAACCCAGTTTCAGTAAAGTGAACTGATTCCCTATCCTTGAAGAAGAATGCAAGACAAAACCCTTCGCCTCAATGGTTTTGCTTATCGGAAAGCTGAGGACACTTCCCTGTGGAAGTTGAAGGGCATTAATTTCAATGGTAAAAGGGGAAAACGTGAAGATAAGCGATTATCAGTAACAGAATTCATCCAAGAGAACAGCCGGAAAATAGAAGAAGCAACGTTAGGTCCAGGCGGCGGCTTAGGTATTGGTTGCGGCATAGGAGTGGGACTAGGAGTAGTTGGTGGTCTGGGTTTGGGTGGTTCAGAATGGAACCATCTCAAGATGGTTTTCGGTGTGGGAATGGGTTGTGGTGTCGGTATAGGTTTCGGGTACGGGCAGGGAATTGGTGTTGGTTATTCATGGGAAGAATTCAAGTCTCGATTTTTCGAAGATTAAAGCAGTTCCAGAAAGCCCCTTGTAATTCGAATCTGTTTTTTTTTTTAATTTCTTTTCTTGTTGTGCTATTTTTCGTGTGTTTGTACCTCTGTAGAATTGCTATTTCCAGTAGCTTTTGTTTTGTGTTCCCTCATTTGCATTTTAACTCCATGAGTAATTGTACAAATGCTACTAGCAGCTTCCTAGAATTCTAATTTGGAAGCGTTTAGACAAGTTCATGTGATTGTACAAATTGAAATGAGCTGACATCTAGAGCCCACGAAAAAAGACACTGAAATGAGCTGACATCTAGAGTGCTTATTTTAAGTTACCTTTAAGTCAAAATAGCTTTTAAATCATAAGTTAGCAATTCTAACTTTTGACTTTTGATTTGTTTTTGTCATTTTAGCTAAAAAACAATTGTTTAAAAGCACTTTTTTACTTTATCTAAACAGTACAAAATGACTTAAAAGTTATTTTGACTTAAAATCACTTATAAGCCAATGCAAAGAGGCTCCTAATATTTACATTAACATTCTTACTTGCCAGACATCTAAAATTTACATACAAGAGAAATTTCTTAACTGATCTTCACTCATTCCTCCCTTTTCTAATTGATTCAAACAAGTCATACAACTTTTTTTTTTTTTTAGAAAAAAGGCTCATATCCCCTCCTTTCTATTCAATCAACAACGTTTGTTCAAATAAAGAGAGAACCACTAGCCATCCTTTTCTACATTTAAATTCGCCCACCCTCGCATTGTCTATTCAATAAATCCTCCACTTTCAGCAGCAGAAAAATTGAAACTATCATCCTTAGCAAACTGTAACCTATCATTATGCATAAACACTCAAAGAAAGTGTATTCGCCTTTGTTACAAATGTCACTTAGCACATTTTCACGCTGTACACAAAAACTTTCCCCAAATTGCTATCAAAAGTTGCAGGTAGCAGTCTCATGAATCTCCCCGATTTACTAATTATGTACTAACTGAAATGGTATATCAATCAAATCTTAAAATAAAGAAAAAATGAGACAATAGGAGCAAATCGAACAATAAGAAAAAAGAGACAATTCTTCACATGTTAGTATATGTAAGCACATGCCCTGCAATAAGTGGCAAGTGAAATCTAATCGATCCAATGGAGCATATTCTGCACAAGAGGTCAGTTCTGCAAAATAACCATGTACTCGGACAGCATTTTGAGTGAGCAATTCCAGCCAGGAACTGCCTTAAGCTAAACTACCTTCTCCCAGATTCTAGATCTTCCACGGTTGGACCAGAATCCCCAGATAAAGAAATGCCCATAAACGCGTGGTGGTTTCTCTCATTCTGTTGACTTTCTACTTGAACCTCTGCACTGTGTGTATTATTTACATTGGCATTTACAGTATTTGCAGCTTGTGAAGTTCTTTGGGACTCCTCCAGCACACGGAAGTAAGCGTAAGTTGCCCAGCCTAGAAGCACAAAATAGACAGACAATCAGAAAACGACTAGAAATGAGGGGAAAAAAATAAAACTATCTTCATAGTACATAAATCCTCTCCATGGCCATATTCTGTTCCTCTACGGAAAACATAAACCAGAACCGCTTTCTAGATCCATTCATTTGTAGGGAGGAAGCTGCCTTCTGTAATGTAGCTGGGGTAAACAGTAAGGCCTTTTCCATGGTCTAGCAGTAGTGTATTCCTTAGAAGATTCACAGGTGTATCAGTTCTTTGGATGTTGGAGGATAGGTTTACTTTCTTTTCAACCATAGGCTTAAAAGAGGCAATCATCATTACATTTTCCATAGGACATGATCCCTCAAGTCGCAGAAAGCTATTGAATGAGAGAATTAACCTCTTACCCATGTATAATGAACTAACTACAGTCATATGCATATATACAAATGAGTTTACAACTAAAGTAACACAAATGCAAAAGTGGTAAGAACACAACTTGGGATCATCAATTCTTCCTCCGAATCAATCACGGAATAAAAACTCAATAGAGTACTGTGAAGTGTGAAGGTTTCAACTTTTTACTGTGATACGCAGCACAAGTTTACCATGAAAGAGAAAACCTCTGATATTCTATCATAAAAAATTTCACACCACTGGAGGAATGAGAACACACCTTGAACATGATATGGAGGTGGGAAAAACTGCAAATAGCATAATGCTGCAACTACAAGACCTGCAAAGGAGAATATCCTCAGATTTCATTATTGTCTCATGCAGTCTTACTGTAAAGATACAAACAACAAATAAAATCTAACAACACGCACCGATTAGACCTCCAGCAAACACATCCTGCCAGTGGTGCCAATAGTCATCCACCCGAGAAATGGCAACCAAAGATGCAAGCAGAAGGGGAAGTAACACAAGACACAGTTTTGCAACATGTCCTCTACGGTCAAAGACTTGTATCTTGCCAGATAAATAAAGTGACAGAAAGGTAAGACCAGAAAAGGACCCTGCAAGTTGATCCAAAATCCTCAAAGGTCAAGAAAACAAGAAAGAAACACCATAGACACATTCTGAGACGCTGTAAATTTCAAGTCTCTGTCTCCGCACATGCAATCTTTTCTCGTACAACACATGAGAACATGTAATGAGACAAGCATTCTACTTACAGGAGGTATGCCCACTGGGAAAACTCTTATGCCCTTCCTTGACGACATTTTTATCGCCATGGCATACAACATCTCCCCATTTATCGTAAACCTGTTGACCCATCAATATTTACTGAAATACTAATTTACAAGGGAGAGGCCCTAGTCTATAACTAGAAGTATGAAAATATAACCATCAAGGCAGCATACTTCTTTTCCATCTGGGAAACAGCGCCAGAAGAAGTCTGGCCTAGGCCGTCCAACTGCATCTTTTATGGCGTCTGTGATAACAGCTGTTATCAGAACAGAGAACAAGAGCCCTGCCATGACAACATAATTAAAGGACGACTACCAGAAAGTTTTTACGTAAGCGAGAACATATATAAACTATTACCACTGAAACTAGCCAAATCCAAAGAATAGCTTACCTAATATGGCATGATGAAGATCATAAACATCTTTTCGCCGAAAATAAACTAGCAGAAAAACAACTATAGGCAACAGAACAGCATACACCTGATAACATTTGGAAATTGTGAAATCTAAATATGAGGTACTTTATTTGAAATGGAGAAGAAAATGAAGAATGAAATAAGTTTTGTAGCAACTGAATGAAAATGAAGATCAACTCACTGGAACAGCCCAAATAGGTACAGTGTTACTTTTTAGAGGATACTTGAGGTCTGTCATCATGTCTTTTCCGATAAACCGATAAAACGGATGGATAGCATTCAGAATGACAACTATCGCCAAAAGTAGTATTAAGATCAGCCAGTCATGCAAGTGAGTCATTGCCACCGTCATACCGTGAGACCTCACAGTATGTGACCCAAGCTGGGTACCCCTCATTCTGGCCTGCTAAGAACATGCAAAAGTAAGAACTTAAAGTATTTTTATAATATGATACCGATGACTTATAACTTTGTCTAATTTTGTAATAAGCTGCATATATAAACACAATCCTTTTTCTGAATTCAGAGCCATAATAGTGATACTATTACAAAATTGGTTTAATAATTATCTAGTTAAACACAAATGACGATAATAAGGTCATTTTCATCACAAATCTATTAGACGCCCGGGTAAATTTTATTTATTTCATCACATGAGGTGAGAAGTCATATTGCCAAATCTACAAAAAAAATGTGCTTTATATAGTCAACTATAAGTTTTTGTTTATAAAAACTAATACAACAGTCTAAGGTAAGGCATACAATGTATCAGGGATAGCCATTGGCCAAAATGGAAAAGCAAGCATGACATGCCTAACAAAAAACTTTGTTGAAGAGACAATTAAATGAGTAAAAATGTGTTCTCTCTAATTGCTTAAGCTTTTAGATGAGATGATCACACACTTCAACAAAGGCCCTGGTTCGAGTCTCATCGCCAGCATTAAATGAATTTTCACGTGCTTGCCAATGAAAAAAAATGAAGCCGGCACGTGAGAGAACGTGTTGAAGAGAATTAAATAAATAAAAGTGCGTTCTTACTAAGATTTTAAGATTTTAGATAACATGATCACACACTTCAACAAAGCATATTGGAAGTCCAAAAAATAGATACATGGCTCATGATCAATCTAAAATGAGTTGTGGCCTAAAGGACAAATGGAAGTTTGAACATAACACGCTTCCAATAAAACTATGGTACTTGTATGGTTCCAAGTGCATCTTGGAAAAATTAGCCAAAGTTCGTTTTGTCAGTTTACAAGTAGCTGTACATGACTCATAGTAGGTCACAGGAATGTCCAGTCTTCTAGTCATCTGAATTTGCAAATATCTTGCCCAACTGTTCCCCAAAAACCAGGACAAACTTATCCCATATCCTTCCTTCATCTTATATTCTTGTATCCAATATGTTATGGGTGGAATAACCCGTGCCAGCTACTCATTTCCATCCCCACTCCTTAACATAGCTCCTTTAAGCTTAGTATGTCGAATGTAAGAAATATATACCTGGTGTTTCTTGTGTGCTATCAGCGGCAGAAATAGTTGAGAAAATCCAGCAAAAGCTTCTGGCTTTTGACTTGATCCGTTCTGATTGAAGGCAAATAAATCAATCAATTGTCATGGTCGATTAAGTTGGAACTAAGACTTGTCATGTCTCATGAGCGGAGGCGTATTGAAGATTTAAGCTCTATGGGTTCAGTTTATAAATTTTTTAGCATTAAACTCATTAGAAATTTATAATTATGGATTCATATTTACTACTATTTGTTGCAATTTTAGTAAATTTTTACTAGAAGGCTACATCCTCCTCTTCCCACGAATTACAAACTAAAGCTCAATTACATCATAAGTAGTATTCTGGCATTCAACTGGTGCAACTAGTACAGTCAATGGTTCACATACTTATCTAAGACTTAAAATTCAATCCATAAATATCTAGAAATAAGTGGCCTAATCATCCAATTAGAGGTGCAGTACAGCAATAACATGATTAATCATACAACATGTAGAATTTCAGAGGCTTTTCGCAGTCTAAGGTCTTGAAATATTATGTGGTTAGTGCTGTTGCATCAATCATAAATTTTGCAAGGACTGGATAACTTTTAGAACTTCAGATGCTGCACTAATTCACTACAGTTTTCCCAGGAGAACCAGGTACTCCATAAAAAAGAACACACTTTACATGGAAATGAAAGTATAAAAATGACATTACATCAGAAAGAGAGCTAAAACTGGGAAAGAACAGATTTTACTAAAGTCACCAACACTGTGAAGGCTAAAGCATTAAATCTTAACATCAGTCTCAGCCGCCGTTGCTTTTAAAAATGTACAATAAAAAGGAAAAGCAGATATGCGTTGCACATAATCCCGACGGACCTTAGACTGCGAAAAGCCTCCGAAATTCTTGAAAAAGAAAACAGATCTCAAATCCCAGGACGGCATTGAGGAACCAAAGCGACCAAGGGGGGAAATTAAAATTTGAAGAGGAAAAAACAACCCTTAATCAAGAAATTATGATGAATCAAGACATTAATAAATAAGAGCACTATTCACGACAGTGACAGTAAGAGCCAGTTTCCACATGGGAAAAGCAGAAAAACACGTCCACACAATCTATATTAAATAAACCCCTTATCCACGCTGATTTGGAACAAATTAAGAAGAAGCAGTTGTCAGCAAGCACTAGCAAAGTCAACCCGGAAAAGATACAAAAAAAAGAAAAGAAATAAAAAGACAATTGGAGACTTTCTGTTAAAACTCAAAAGGCAATGGGAAAGTTTATGTTAATAATTTTAACAGAACGAAACAACTGATGCTGTGAACTAGCACGAACAACAATGGCAAAGATTCAGTGATGTGACCTATTCACCCAGCAGGTTGGAATCAAAGAAGCGATCGTTTTCTCTGGTGGGTCTGTAGATGGTCAGGGGTTGTCCTGCCGCGCTGGGGCTCTCTAATTTTTCCTTTCATTTCAAACGGGGTTAAAGGCTTTGTTTGGTAAGGTGTTTGTTTTGCTGATTTGCTGCGTTGTCCAAAATCGTGAATGCCACGTTTGTTGCGTTAGAATATTCTAACGCAACTATCATCACTGCCAATCTATGCCAGATGCAAAATGTAGTCTCCCTCCAAACTCCCAAAGTCTTATACTATTACTGTTACTATTGTACACTTATAGTTTAATACAATTATTAATAATAATTTGCCCTTACTAAGAAAACTGTAGTATATTGTTTATCCACTTCTAATTTGATACAATTAATAATAATAATAATAATATAATAATAATAATAATAAATTCCTACTAGAAAACGTTTGTTATATTTTTTTAATCAAAAATCTATTTTTTTACTGTTTGGCCAAAAAGTGTTAAGCCTTTTTATTAAACTAATTAAATAAATGATAATGGGTAAATTCTAGCTAAATATAATAAATTCTAGACCCAAGATTGATGGATAGTAATAATCTAGAAACTGCATTTAAAGCTATTAAAAGCCAAAAAGGAGTTTAATGATATTGTTGTGAATGAATGAGGGGATAAGGATAAGTAATAAATATGATGAATAGCAATAGCTGTAAATAGAGAGAATAATTCACCTAAATATATAACGAGGTGGATGATTCTCCCTCTGACAATGATGTAAGATAGCTAAACGTGAGGATATCAAATACTTTATCAGATCTGATGTGGGAAAGTTAGGAATAAAACAACAAATCGTTGTGTAAAGATAATGTTTGTAGTTGCTTAAGAGTAAACTATTATAGAGAGAGCTTATCAAGATAGAAAAATTATATCCTCCCCCCCTACCCTTCTTTCTCTCTCTATTCCTACTTATATGGAACATATCTCGCACCTACTAAAGTACAAATACAGAGAGTATTCCTTTAAATATTCCTTTAAAATATCTTATTGCTAAACTAGCATTTTGGCTGATCTGAGTGCTCGACCTCGACATTGGCTACTCGGCTCACCAGTGTTGCTTCTTAAGCACGACGTCGGCCTAATTGATTCTTGATTTTCTTATTTCGGCCGAGGTCCCCTTGATCAGATTTTGACCCATACATTTACCAAATAGAAGTGTTTCGCCGAGTTAAGTTTAAAAGGTAGTTCGACTTTGTGAGTGTCAATTTCCGCATTAAGTATTAATAAGAAATATAAGTATATACGAAAAATTATAAAGTAATACATAACTACTCATTATGATTTAATTCAATTATTTTTGGGCAACAACAAACCAAATCGAATAATATTGATTTATGAAAAATTCATACAAGATTATGTTGGGGATTTTAAGAATAATGAGGCTTAAAATAGGGTGAATGGAAAATGGAGGGAAATGAAAATTTTAAGTGAAATTTTAAGTTTCCCCCCTTGGCAAAGGGACATTTGTCCCATATTGGAAGAGGAAGAGGTTTTTTATGGGTATATAAACAATTGTTCTTCTTCTACCTCTTAAAGAGTTGAGAAGAAGGCAAGCCTCGCGCCGTCGCCGTCGTCGCTCGGCTTCGGAATATTAACAGAAATGTTATTAAATATTCGTTTTAATAACAGAATATTAATATTAAAATAAATAATATTAAATCCAATCCGTTTTTCAGTTGTGTAACTGAAAATTTAACTACCCTCTTCAATTTTCCCTCTTTATTGTTGAGTAAATAGCCATTTATGTTATGACATTTATGCTATGGCCGTTTTGCATAAACAAGCATTCTAAAGAGTTGCACCTCTTCAAATTTCAGCCTAACTTTGGCTATAAATACAAGTCTATTCTCTCAGAATTTCCATACGATTTTCTGAGTTTCTCCTCCTTCTTCTACATTGTTTTAACTTCAAAGAAAGCAACAATAAGTGTGATTTGTTGCCGAACTTTGTGTTCGTTGAAACACTGGGGTTTGAAGTACCACTATACCAGTGTGTAATTCGTTCTATCCTGGGAGAAAATAATCCATAACCTTGGGGTATTAGGAGGGGATTAAATTCCTTAAGGAAACACTGTGAATTCAGCAGGCTCGGATTAAAATTCTGTTTCTGTTTTTTTCATTTCTGTTTATACGTTATTTTATATTCTCCAGAATTATTTTACAAATACAGTCTACTAACAGGTTATAGCACTGGCAAATGTCACATTATCAAATTAATTTGAGTTGTTTTGATATGTGATTCGATTTTTCAAATTTTCTTGAATACTCTTAGTTATAGTTGTTTGATTTGATCATGAGTATTTATAAATACTAAATTTCAATATATAAAATACAGGTGAGGATATTTCAGATGAAATAGTGTACTTTTATTTTTAACCTTTTAACTTACACAAAAAAAAAATGAAGTGTTCAACTTTTAGATACTCTTTTCCATACAACCTCAATTTTTGCTTTTAGTTTTATCAAAATATTGCCTAAACACTCAGGGCAGTACAGCAATAACATCATTAATCATACAACATGTAATTTCATAGGCTTTTTCGCGGTCCAAGGTCTTGACATATTATGTGGTCTTGACATATGTGGATGTGATAGTTATTCCTGATCAATTGAGCGATGCTACACTTGGCAAGCTCAGAATTGGAAGCATTTCAGAAAGATTAATGTAAATATTGCATTTATAGAGATACAGATAAAGAAGGAACTTTGGGAGAGGATTAGCATGCTAGCAGGATCTAGAAGAGCTAGAAAATGCCCAATTTCAATGCAGAGGATATGTAGTTAGAGTAGTTAAATTATTTGTCATTGTTTATTTTTCTGAGAGCTAGTGAGAGTCTGATCCTAATGGATTAGAACAGTCAGTTGCTCCCAGGTTGTAAATTGTTTGGTTTGTTATGGAAATATTCACAGATTATTGCAAAAAAAAAACTCGCAAAAAAAATACTAAAATTCAGCATTTAGAATAATAAAGCTATATATAGTGTAATGACCTGGCCAGTCGTTTCATGAGTTACCGCTCTATTTTCCCCATTTCTGCTTCTTATTGCCTTGTTCAGTTGTATTATATGTTATTGGGTTGGTTGGCTCGGGTTCGGAGAGGTTTTGGTAAGATTTGAGACACTTAGTCTCTTTTGAGTAAGCTTAAGTTGGAAAAGTCAACCGAATGTTGACTTATGTGATAAAGGGCTCGGATGTGAGTTTTGATGGTTCGATTAGCTTCGGAAGGTGATTTGGGACTTAGGAGCATGATCGGAATGTATTTTGGAGGTCCGGAGTAGATTTAGGCTTGAATTGGTGAAATTGGAATTTTGGCATTTTCCGGTTGATAGGTGAGATTTTGATATAGGGGTTGGAATGGAATTCCGGAAGTTGGAGTAGGTCTGTGGTGTCATTTGTGACATGTGTGCCAAATTTCAGGTCATTCGGACGTGGTTTGATAGACTTTTTTATCGAAAGCGGAATTTGGAAGTTTTTGGAATTCTTAGACTTGAATCCGATGCAAATTTGGTGTTTTGATGTTGTTTTGAGTGTTCTGAAAGTTGGAACAAGTTTGAATAATGTTATGGGATATGTTGACATGTTTGGTTGAGGTCCCGAAGGCTTCGGGTGAGTTTCGGGTGGTTAAACGGATCATTTCAAGTTGAAAAGATTGCAGAAAAATCTGTTGTTAGTGTTGCAGACAACTATGCTTCGCGTTCGCGAAGGGTTAGGGTGGGAGGCTGTGAAGTTGGTCTTCGCGTTAGTGAAGGTGGTCCGCGATCGCTAAGGGTCGAGATCAATGGTCATCGCGTTTGCGAGATTCTTGCCGCGTTCGCGATATTCTTGCCGCGTTCGCGTAGAGGAAAAGCGAGCAGCTGGGTCCAGGTCAGTGTTTTCTTCGCGTTCGCGAGTGGGTAGCCGTGTTCGCGGTGATTTGTGAAGCTAAGGTTTCGCGTTCATGTGCATCTGGCCGCGTTCGCGATGAAGGGAAAATGGTCAACTTAAGTTTGTGCTTCGCGAACGCTAGGCGTTGACCACGTTCGCGAAGAAGGATTTTGAATAGCTGGGCAGAATGATTTAAAAGGCCATATCCACGATTTTTAGTCCAATTTTACACCATTGTTGGGCGATTTTAGAGCTTTTTGAGGAAGATTGAAGAGGGAATCAAGGGGAAACACTTGAAGTTAAGATTTATGGACTCAATACGCAATCCTAATGTGATTTCTACCTAATTAATCATGGAATTTGTGGAATTTAAGCCTAAAAATTGGAAATTAGGGCTTGGAAATTGGAGACCTAAATCTAGGGATTTGAGGGGTCATTTGTGGTCGGATTTTGATGTATTTGATATGTATGAACTCGTAGGAAGACAAGGAGTTTATTGATGTAATTTTTATCTAATTCCGTGACGTGGGCCCGGGGGTTGGGTTTGGCTAATTTCGGGATTTGTATTGTAATTTGATTACTTTCGAGTGGGCTTTGCTCCTTTAGTATATTTTGATAGTTATGTACTGATTTTGGTTAGATTTGGAGCATCCGGAGGCCGAATCAAGAGGCAAAGGCATCGCGGTTTAGAGTTTGGACAGAATAGAGGTAAGTAATGATTGTAAATGATGTCTTGAGGGTATGAAACCCCGGATTTCACATCGTTGTGCTATTATAAGATGACACACACTCTAGATGACGAGCGTGTGGTCGTGCACCATTGGGGATTGTGACTTAGTCCATCCCATACGTTTGTTTAACTGCGTATATGATTGAAAACTGTTTGCTATCATCATGTTTTGGATTGAATACCATATTTGGGCCTCGTGCCAACTATTTTGGACCCTTAGGGGATTTTTACTATTATTCCTCACTATTTTGACTTCATATTTGTACTCAATCATGTTGTATTCTACTGTTTTTATAATTCAGCCATATTTACTCTGTTTTGACATCTTAAATAATATTTTGG